AGTAAAGGGACCTTTGACTCTAAAATCTACGTTCTCTGTAGCAACTCACAGAATAAATGAGATAAACAAGATGTGTAACTTAAGACACTCTTATTTGCAACATCAGAATAAAAGGAACTGCTGAAAAAAGATACATTAGCTAGAGGCTTATTTCTATTCAACAGTTATCTTCAAGAAATACTTTGGCCCTAGAATCATTTTCCAATTAGTTTAAATGAATTTATTGTATCATTTCTTTAGGAGCAATAGTGCAAATTGTGTTTAGTGACATAACTGGGTTATAAAGGAGTCTTTTGTCTGCCCTCCTCCTTTCACATTTTCTTTATCCCTAGGTGTAAATCCAAAGGGAAATATATGTAGGAGAAGAAAAACACTTGATTGCAGCTAATGGCTATCAGTATAGAGCCAAGTATTTACAAGTGAAAGGAATGAGAGCGCTGGCATTCATAATGGGATTTAAATGGCTTTAGGGACTCAGGCTGAAACAGGAGCCTAATGAGAGTGGATTCCAGGGTCATCATGTCAGTCCTCACCTGTCTACTAGGCAGACAGACTGTCCTCAGTCTTCACTTCAAAGACATGCCCTGTTCATCTCATCAATGTCTCTTGTCTCCTGGTTCTTAGGGGAGAAGATGCCTTGGTTGGCCCTTCAGCCTGATGTGCCTACAGCAGGCTACTGAGTAAGGGTGGGTAGAGATTCAGCTTATATCTTGTCTCAGGCTACTAAAAACAGACTACAATATTTAATGACTTTTTTTTTTTTTTGGTGGTACTAGGGTTTGAAGTCAGGGTTTAGTTTTTGCTAGGCAGGCACTCTACATTTGAGCCACAACTCTAGCCCATTTTGCTTTGGTTATTTGGGAGACAGGGTCTAGCTTTTTTTCCCAGGCCAGCCTGGACCACTGCCTTCTTGTTTTTCGCTTCTCCTTGTAGTTGAGATGGTAGGCACATGTCACATACCTAGCTTTTCTGTTGTGTTGGCATGAATCTCTGGTGCCTGGCTAATGATTTTCCTAAAGAGAGGTGAGAAAAAGCAATCATATTGGGTAGACCATCTTTGCTAGGGTTATTTTAGTTTTAATGACCCTTTTAAAAATAAGAAGAAAGAATGTGGATAAGGAGTAAAATGACTTTGTTCCCATGGAGGGGAGAGCACACTTATGATGGATCTTTTGTACCTATGCTTGAGAGGTGAGCTCTTAAACATTTGTTAAGGTGAACTCATTTCCCTTTCTTCTTTCCTAGTTCCCTTCACATTTATACATGGCTAATTTATATCTCTAACCTACCTCAGTTTCCCATGTTAGTCATGGAAGCCCAATCCGGAGTAAGTGACATCTAAAGCTGAGTGAGGAAAGATGAGGCTAGAGTGGGGATCTAACTCAGCTGATCTCCTAGACAGGGTTAGTGTCACTACAGATTCATTAGTCAGTGTTCCTGCCCCTTGGTGAGTTGAAGCATCGTAGGACCAGAGTCCTGTGTCTTACTCTGTCCTCTGTTGCTTTCCTTTGCTCTTGACAATCTTGTCCTTGGTGAGGACTGCTGCTAGATAAGAGTCCATAGATGGTAGAAAAGAGCATGGAGCAGAGATGGCACTTGAATGACAGGGCGTAGTGCTGTGTGAAGTGTCTTCACCATGAAAATCATTTATACCATTATTTGACTTTAGGATCAATGATCAGAGGTGATTCCATTGGCTTGAGCTTTAATTAAGAAAAAAGAAATCACTAGGAAAGCAATTTCCCCTTCCCATTCTTAATTAACTTTCAGGCAAATGTGTTTTCTGCTAATGATCCATTTTGTTTAAACTTTGGCCAAATGTTAGCTCAAGAATTTTCTAAAAGTAATTTATACTTTAACATTATCATCACAAGATTAAAAAATTGTTATAATTGACTGGACTTCCCCAAATTCCTTTATAAAGACAAAAAAGTTATCCTATCATGAATCAAACATGAGAACTTTTGTATGATTTTTTCACAACCTGAAAGCATTCCAAAGCAGAACTCCTTTAATTCTGTACATAGAAGTTTATTTATTATCCTTTTTTCAGAATTGGCAACTAAGAACAATTAATAGCAATGGATTGAGATCCAAGCATAAGCAATTCTGATTCTCTACCCTCTGGGGCATACTCATTTATTTATCCCATTTTAATAATTGTTTTCTTGATATTGGAGCAAAATGCTAGGCCGCTGCTCAGCCTTTTCTTACTAGTCAACTTGTTGGTATAGTGGAAATTATAGAAGGTGACCATGGGTTATGAGCCAAACAGCTACAACTAAAATCAAATTTAAATCTATACTCTCTATGGTACCAGATCATAGAAGTAGTTGGTGGGGAGAGAAAGAAGAAGAATGCTAAGAAATGAAAAAGAAGATAAAGAAAGAAAAAAATGGAAGATGAGAAGAAAGGGCAAGCAAAAAATGAGACCACCCAAACTTATACACTATCCAAACATCTTCCTTCCATCCAGCTTCTTGGGAACCAAGAGATTTTCAAATTCTTAAGAGGCAGAATTAATTCTTTTGCCATATAGAATCTTATGGATTCCCAAGATATAAAAATAAGGAGCATTTTACCAATATAAATTAACTCCATAACATTTGTTCACTGTAAAATTAATTGGAGAAAAAGCATATAACAAAAAATTAGAATTTTAAATATGGATGAAGTTTCTTTCATCAGCTACCACATCCAGTTTCTGTGTTTTGATTTACATGCACAATATCAAGGAAGTCCTATCTCATATTAAAGAGAAATATTATCTAATTTCTAAAATTTCTAAGGATATATAAAGAACTTCGCATATTTTAATATCTTGAAAGAGGAGACATTTCTAAACTGACACTAACAATAGCTTCAGACCTAGATATCACCAGTTCATGAGGCAATTGAGACAAAGCTCTCTGATAATGAGAAGCTAACAAGGGGTCCCAGCACTTGAGTAAGATGGGGAAACTCCTTGCACTTGCTACCCTATAGCTCAGTATGATGACACAGTGTGTTTCAGTATCTAAAACATGTCCTATACATTAGCCCAGCCTCCTATGACATTTACCTGGACCTGGCACACTAGAGTATGGTAGGGGCTGACTTTAGATGTGTGCATACCTAAATTTTAAAGAAACAGTAAGAGAGAGCTGTGGCATTACAAACGAATGATATCCACAAGTTCAAACAAACAGATGCATAGAGATGGAAGCAGACACTGAACTCTAGGGTTGGTACATGTTGACTTAACTCAGCAGCAAAAATAAGTCAGCATGTATAGGGCTGGCATGTTAATGCTATAAGCAGGTTGTGCTTTTAATTAAAATTAAATATCTAACTGTCTCAATCAGTATTACCAGGTTACCAAACTTCCTTGAAACTCTAGCGTCAGAAAACTACTCTGGTTCAGGATCCCAAGTACACCAGGCCTGGCATCCTGGTGACTTGGTCACATGGTTCTGCAGGCTTATTCTGGTGACAGCAAGCAAGATGTATTTCCTGAAATTGTGATCATTTTATTCCATTGTGGTGTCCTCTGCTTGCAGCTTCTTGTAGCAAATTTTAACCTTTAAGTGGAACTATTCCTGGTTAAGTCTCAGAATGAAGCACTGACAGTTTGTTTTTCAAGTTCTTTCTCTACTGTTCCTATTCCATTCACTGCCCCAAACAGAACTTCCATGTCCATTGGTGTTCCTTTCTACTACTTGCTTTTGTTCTGCCTTCATCTAAAATGACTTTCCCTTATATATGTCTCTTCAGGTCTAAGATCACAATCTGAGATGTGATCACTATTTTGGATCTAGAATATACATTCATTTTGTATGTATATTATATATAAATATGTTAACTGTAACACAGTATGTACACTATATATGTAATTGTGGAAAATGTATGAAGACTATTTAATGACATGGATATATTTTCTCACATTAATACAAAAGCAATTTGAAAATTATGATGATTTTTTTTTGAGAGAAAAGTACAATAGAAAAAAACTCCTGAAAACATCACAGTAATGTTACTAGTTTGTGGAAACGGAAATAAGGTTATTTTTTCTTAATGGTATTTTATATGTTTGGGCAAAAAATATGTTTTACTTTGTAATAAGACCTAAGTCAATAAAATATGTCTAAAGCACAGAGTACCTTATCCCATTCTTAAATAAAAATTTGGAGCCCAAATACCTACAAGTGCTCTCACAATTAATCACATGTCAAGGCAATTAATCACATGTCAAGGCATATTAAAGAACACATATCCAGTGTGCAGGCTCTAAGGCTACTGTACAGCCCAGTATATTGTTGATGTCTTTTTCTGTCAGCCAGCTGAACTCTGCTTTTGGAAGTCACTCATCTGACAATCTGTGCATTCATGTCGGTGATGATGCTCCCTTGCCTTCAATTGTTGGATCACAGCTAAGATAATCACTGATGAATGAGGATTGAGATGTAATATTTCCCAAAGATTTGGGTGACATTTTTCAAAATATTCTCCTCAACAGCAAAAGGGTGTGCAATTCTGCTGTGTCATGGTTGTGAATAATGTGTTTGCAAAGACAGTTGAGCATCATTTCTGGTGAATATATTATATAAAGGGAATTGCCTTCTGGTCCACTCTGTCACTCTGGATTCCTGATATCTTGCACTGTGGTTTGTTTTTCCACATACACCCCTCCCAAAACAAAGCAGATATATTTGGTACTCACCGATACATCTTTTTTAAAGTGGATTAGACAATTTTCCTTGTAACTTTTTCCTTAATTTAGTGTGAAGTAGAATTAAACAGAAGAAATGGAGGAGCTTATTTGGAGATATCAAAATAAGAAAGGGCATTGTTTTGGTTACTCAGTAGACTTTAAGAGGACTGAGGAATGGATTGAAGAAAATTATCAAGCATGCGTGTTGTTTTTAAGTGATACTTGAGCCTAGGATGTGCAACAGCTGTGTTGTTGGCTTTTTTTTTTCTTGTGCCAACTTTCCTTATTTGATTGATTTTCTCTCTGACAGCCCACTGTGCTGATAAATGTGTCCATGGTCGCTGCATTGCTCCAAACACCTGTCAGTGTGAGCCTGGCTGGGGTGGGACCAACTGCTCCAGTGGTAAGTTCCCACCTGCTGCTGTCTGTCTCGAGATGTTTTGCTCTATGGGCCTCTTGTCTGAAGTTTACCCTGGGCCACCATTTCCGTTTTCATCCTGAGCAGAACCTGGTGTGGATTCCAAATCCAGTTCATTCAGACAGTTCCTGTTAAATCTGTACATGGATTATATATAGAACTGCTGTTAATTGAGTATAAAGAAAAGTACTTGGAAAGGAGATTGCAATAATCTGATCCTCATACTTTTGTGAATGTGAATGCATTTTCCACAGTAAAAGGCCAGAATTTAGATTCTTCACTTTAGGAAGGCAGTTGTGGTAGCATAGCTATTGTATTTTAATTTCTGTCTTAAAACTTGATTTATCTATCATTCTTTCTTGGTGACTAAAATTTACTACCTGCTGATTTTAACTCAGTTCTAAAATTTGTATTTTTGATGCTAACATATCTATTTGTTTCTAAATTCTGAGATGGAAATAATGAGTACATGCTGAGATAACATTGGGGAGATAAATATGTAATAAATGAAAATGCATGATTATATGAAATTATAACATGATATATAATTTGTCTTCAATTTGCTATGATTGTAATTCTAAAATGGTATTTTGTACTTTCAGCAGGCTGTACCTAAAACCCCATATTAATTATCATCAACATGTAATGATAGAATGCTATATAATACAGTTGCTTTCATAAATTTCAGTTAAAATTTAAGTTTTCTGGCTAACTTATTGCTGCATGCATAACTGTGTCTACTTCCTGCTCCTTTTTCTTTCTTCTTTGCCTTAAAAAATGAGCAGCCACTGTAATACACAAACATTACATTCCTAACAAGGAAATAGTAGTTTTCAAAAATTAGCAGGTTCTCATGACACCACGAATTCGTCTTCATTGCTGTCATGTGATTTTCTGACATTAGTCTGAAAGGACTTGAATGAAGCTGGTTTTAAGAATTTTACTTACTTACTTTGGAGTCGGGGCAATTACTCTTGATCTACTTGTTTTGAACTTGGCTCTCCCAGAGCAGCATCTCCAGGGGAAGCCTTGTAGTGTATGTGCACAGAGTGCTTAGTGGGAAAAGAGCCTCATTGTGCCTTATACAGGGAGTGTGTGTGTGTGTGTGTGTGTGTGTGAGTGTGTGTGTGTTTCTGCTCCTGACAGGCTTCTCAATTCCAGTAGGTAACTGTCTACCAGCGTTTTGCTTTGCTTCTGTTGGAGAGCAGGCATTTTGTTCACATGCCATTGAGGCAGAACGTTTGGGATGTGGGATTTGGCTCATGTCCATTTTTCTAGCTGACTGACCTCAAATACGTTATTGCTTTCATTAACTGTTCCAGCTTAAAAACCAGTTGTGCCTAGACATCTTGAGGAAAAATCACATTATTGTAAACTAGTGGGAAAGGGGAAAGGGGATGTATTCTTCATTTGAAAAATGAGGTTTGTTACTAATTCGAGGGCAAGAATGCTGTGGAATAATTTCAGTTGTAGTCATACTTTGTTTCCTAAAGACTATAGGCTTCCTCAAGCAAAGGGATGGGGATGAACAGTGTATGCAAAACAAAACCTTACATGGGGTTTCAGGCTCCTAGAACTGATTTGGGCCTTCTAGGAATAAATAGTCGTTTAATTTTAGAGTTTACTGATTTTTGAATGAAGACTAGAATTCTGAAACATATGCTATTTTAAACTTTTGCTTATTTTCTACAACTTTGGCTTTATAATGAAAAAAAGTGTAGATAATCGTGAACAGATGTCTGAAATCTTTAAAGACATTCAGAGAAAAACATTCTTGACACCATTTTAAAGCACGTAAGAAAATGAGCTGAACCACATACTGGGTGGGCTTTGCTACCTGTGTTTTGTCTGTGGCAGTTACCCTAATCCAGAAAATGTTTTAGTTTGTTTACTCTTGGTCAGATAGTTCTGGAACCAGAATGAACATATGCTCCAGCAATCTACTGTGTAGCAGAAGTAAAGCAACCTAATTTCCAAGGATTCAATCTCTGCTTGGTCTTCTCTCTGCTATGCATAAATTTGATGATGCATGCTAAATCCATATAAAATTATTACTTTGATAATTAGACTGGCTTATTGTATCAGTTAGGTTCTAATCAGGAGAGAGAACCACATGATTTTTTTAGGTTAGCTTTAATTTTGGAACAATTTTACATTTACAGAAAAGTTGTAAATATGGTACAGAGAATTCCCATACATCCACACCCAAATTTCCCCTATTGTTAACCTCTTAAATTACCACTAGTTTTTCCAAACTGCAAAATTAACATTAGTACATTAGAAGTAAATAAACTCCAGTTATTCTTTGGATTCCATCAGCTATTTCCATGAACGTCCTCTTTCTATTGCAAATTCCCATCCTAGGTACCACCCTGCACTTTGGTGTTGCATATTCCTAGTCTCTTATGCCTGTGCTAGTTTCTCAGTCTTCTTTTTCTAGAAGAGGACTGCCAGATGTTTTGTAGAATGTCCCCAATGTGTATGTGTCTGATGTTTTTATAATGATTAGACTACAGTTGTCATAACATCATGCCAGGATATTCACATGACATCAGTCATGGCATCCTCACTTGGTTGAAGCATTGTTTGGCAGGTTTCTCCATGTAAACTTATTTTTCTCTTTCCTACACTGTACTGCAGAAGCAAGTCTGTAAGTCTAGTTTACCCTCAGGGATGGAGGGCAGGCATTAAGCACTTTGGTGTTGCATATTCCTAGTCTATTATGCTGTTGCTAGTTTCTCAAGTCACTTTCATTTTTCTAGAGAGGATGCCAGATATGTTTTGTAGAATGTCCAATGTGTATGTGTCTGACATGTTTTATTATAATGATTCACACAGTTGTCATAAAATGCAGGATATCACGATGACATATTCATGGCATCCTACTTGGTTGAAGCTTGTTGGCAGGTTTCTCCATGTAAACTTATTTTTCTCTTTCCTACACTGTACTGCAGAAGCAAGTCTGTAAGTCTAGTTACCTCAGGGATGGAGGGCAGGCATTAAGATCCACATCTTTCTAAGCATCCATATTTTTGGAGAGTTTTGTCTAGCATAGAAGGGCCCTGGGTTCATCCCTAGCACTGCAAAAACACAAGACAAAACAAAAATCCATATCTTTAAGGGAGGAGTGTTTACCTATGTTATTTGAAATCATCTAAAAAAGAATTGTTTCTTCTTTCCCATTTACTCAGTGATTATATCAATTGACTCATCTATATTTATTTGATATTTTGGTTATGACAATGTTACATCATTTATTTGGGTGCTCAAATTGTAACAACAACTTTGGCCATTGTATACTTTTGACATGTCTCATCCTTTAATTCTGAATACGTTCTCACTTTCTGGTACTAAGATAATCCATGCTCATCTATTTTTCCTGCTGTAGATATCAAATGAGGCCATTTTCAAAAGGCACCCTGGTTCTTTCAGTGGAGAATGGTATTAGAAACAAGATCTGGGTTTTGGGTGTGCTCATTACTAGTGGGATGCATAGTAAGTTGAAAGGAGAAAGTTTAATAAAAGAGTAATTAACTATAAAGGAGATTGGAATAACGAGGGGCTGGCTAGTAATCAGGTAGGTTGAACTATAAAAAATATGGAAATGTCAGATTAAGGTATAGCACTACCCTAGACTGAGGTAGAATATCCAAAAAGGAAGAACCAAAGGGGTGTGGTCCAGATCTTGTTGGAGAGGGCAAAGCCACAGCTTCACTGTGTGGCAGAGAACCTGCTGCCAATACTGTTGTAGAAGAACTTACTGGAAATTTGCCCTCTGAAACTTGCTAGAAATCTGCCCATTAGATATATGAGAAAGCACTTCATGGAGAAGTGTCTTACAGAAGCACTCTACTACAAAGGGAAAAGTTGTTTACTAAAGTGTGTTGCCAGCCACAGTATTCTGCAAGCTCTGAATGCTAGAGATGTCTGTGCTACAAAAACTTGATTCTAGAGAAGCCCCTGTGCTGCAAAACCAGCACTGGAAGAACTGTTGGTGCTATGGGGGCAGGCAGTAGAGAAGCCACTGGCATCCTGCTTAAGTTGCAGACACTGGCTGAGGCAGGAGCCATGGGCACTGCAGAAGTCATCTTAGCTAGCACACAGAGACCAGGATGGAAAATACCTTCCTTCTACATCTCTCCAGCGCCTCTACTGAAAATGTTTAGCATTCACCCAGCTGACCTGTACCATTTTATAGAACTGGCAGGGAAGGACACATTTAGGGCTAGGAGACAATAAATTAATAACTGTTGCAGTCCAGCCTTTGGTTACTCATTTCTCATATACTTTCTTCTGCACACATTTAAATTCCTATAAATCAATGAAAAATTTTGTACTTCCAAGTAAACCTGCTCTCACCTTCTTCAAACAAGGAAATGCAATCCTAAGGGAGTGTATCCATTGCTAGGTATAGCACTTTTTTTCAAATTCAGTCACTGTTCTACTGAATATTCTGTTTCCTAGATACTAAAGTTAACTTATCAACTTGTTTGCTTTTTGATGGTACTAAGATTTGAACTCAGGACCTTGAGCCATGCCTCTAGCACTTTTTGGCGGGTTGTGTGTGTGTATGTGTGTGTGTGTGTGTGTGTGTGTTTGCAGTTCTGGGGATTGAACTCATGGCCTTTTACTTGCTAGGTAGGCACTTTACCCTTTATCCTATGCCTTTAAACCTAACTTCTATCAACTTGTATATGAAAGAAAAACAAAATGGAAAGGAAAAGAGAAAATAACATAAAAACAAAAACATACACATAACAAACAAGTAGACAATATTAAGGGCTATTACGTGCCTCCTCTGCAGTTGGTAAGATAGCTGTAATTATGATTTTATGCTTTCTTCTTCCTCCCCCATTCTTTATTTCCCTTAATCAGCCAGAACCTCAACTGCTTAAAATCCTTACCTAGTGGAGTGCCTCAACCCTGACTCAAGTTTTCCACTTGTCCTGACTTTTTTTGGTTGTTGACATTTTACATTAACCTTT